CATTTTTTTGTGAATTTTTCACTTTATCTCATTCTGGCATTTCCAAAATATGAACTTTAACTCTTATCAGCCTGAAGCCTTAGGGACCATTTCAAGGAAATTCTCGCTAAATGCAATCAATGTAAGTGGCTTAGCTGTCTGTCACGCCTACTGAAACTGACATGCCAGAATCCTAAGCTGCTTAAGCTGAAAGCAATTTAGTGAGAAACCCCTTGGAGTTGGATTGATCCTGTTAGATTGATATAGGCATGGGAACTCAGTCAAATGCTTGTTACACATTTTACATTGATCCTAATCCACTGTTATGCAGAATTAGAATTTGATGTTGGCTATGTAGTTACAGTAAGCATAGTACATCAGTGCATCAGAACTGACAGTGTCCTATTTTCTGCATTTTTATTTTCTGGTTTTTTGTCTGTACATTTGACAGCTTTGCTGCCTTGTTTTTACTTTGGTGGCTAACTACCGTAGTTAGCCACCAAAGTAAAATAGTACCAGTTAATCATCCCTTATACCCGTATATTTTCCGGCGTTAAATTATAGGTCGGAAGCGCCTTCAAGTTCTCGCACGCACATGCACTATCTCGATGTACATCTTTTCCAAATAATATATATGTACTGTTTTACAACTTATTCAAATTGGTCTCTGTCTGAGCTCTAAAATGTAAAATAAAGCCTTTTAATTTTTAAGTGCGAAAAAATTGAAAAAAACTACATATTATTAAAAGGAAAATGTGCTAAAAATGTGCTAAAACAAAAAAACAGCCCAAAGTAAAAGCTCTTTAAACATTTCCAATTGCCGTTAAAATTTTATCAAGATTGTTACTTTGTGGGGATTTTAAACCAAGCTAAAAACGGGGTGAAAAGTGCTCTCATTAACAATGCTCTCCAAGTCCTCTCTGTTCTCCTCTTACTCTGTAGCACCACCCATTGAGCCACCTTGCTCACTGCACCACCCAATCAACTGCATGAATTACGGTTCACGTCATTCAAATAATGCTCCAACACACATGGACGGCTGACCCGGAGTTACCTTCGCGCCTAGGTAGGGTCAAGGCAAAGCAACTTACATAAGTAGAGTGTATATAGTTATCGAGGCTCATACTCTGTGGAGTGATATGTTTTTGGGTGCGAACGTCATTCCAACACCGTGAACCTCTTCAGTTGGGCGCGAGCATCCTCAGGAACAAGATGACTCTTAAACAACGTGTAGCCGCTGAACATCTGCTGCTTCAACTGAGGAAGTCTCAAAAGGTAGGCCTATAGTGAAGAATTGAATCTGAATTTTGAATACGCTCAAACATTTTCTGTTTTGCGAAAAAGGCGTAGGCTACAGTAGCCTACGCATCAGACACTTTAGATAAATCAAAAATACTATTAGAGAAACTCAGGAAACAGGGCGGGGTTTAGGTGCCCTTAGTACTCCCACTCCCCTATGCAACACCAGGTTGCACTAATGCCACTGCCACTGGTATATACTTATCATTTATGTTCTTCTACCATTTCTATTGTTTTGTTCCAAAAAACTTTTTTACTCTGACGGTGGCTGGTACCCTCCTAGCCGTGATGCTTTAAACAAATGCTTAGTATTTATACACATTTAGAGAGAAACCTGTGTCCATACGAGTAATATAAAGCGATTTATGTTCATGATAAAAGTCCAACAATGCAATATTGGTCGTTTCAGATTCAGTTGAAAGCCAGCAAGAGAGAGCAGAGATTGCACGAGAAAGCTATAGCCAAAGTTATGGCTGGAAATCCGACAAAAGCCGAGAAATTAGAGGTATATGAATTAATACTCAACCAAAAAATGTTTTTAAAGTTTTGAAGACTTTAAGACACCCAGAAAGTGTAAAGTGATGTTTTGTCATGTTATTTGGGTAATTGCGTCCGTTGTGTCGAAGTCTTCGTGAAAAGACTTTTAAGGTCGTACAAGTAATAGTCGTTATAATTATTTAACTGATATAAATCGTAGTTCTAGAGAATGAACTTTACAAAATTATATAAAATGGATGATTACTGTCAAAAACCAGGCAAGAAGAATACTGTCATGTTTTCATGAAGTTACGCTCTACAGTAACTAAGACATTTAAAAAGATAAATTGGCCTTTTAGAAACGCTCCGAAAGATGGGCTGCAAAGCGCATGGAGGCCCAAAAGTCTGAGAGAGAGTACTTGGACAGGATGATGCAACAAAACCGCGACCGAGACTGGTCCGAGGTGCTTTGTTCCGTTCCCAGCGAGAAATGCGGACCGCCCTCTGGAGCCGATGTGGTCGAGGTATGAGTTTCACAGTACACTTAAGAATTTTGAGTGATTCTTTTTAGGTTGGTTCACTGGAGACGAGATCTTCTTGAAGTTCAAGTTCAAGCTAGGTTAGGTGCAGTTACGTATTCTGTAGTTTCAGAAAAGCACCGTTAGTAAGTTGTGCTCATCTATTTTGTTAAGTTGATCTGCCTCACCAAATAATAATAATAATCCTTGACGGGCGCCTCAAATACGGTACAAAGTAACCGAAATAAGACACTACTTGTGTAAGTCCCATGAATTTTTTTTCTTATATAAACTACTGACCTAACTAGGTCATAGCTTAAAACTGACTTACACTCATTTATGCAACAAAGTTTGGCTGCTACCCATTCAATGTCCCTGTACCCTCCTTAGTGGCCCATATTTATCGCTGTGGGTCAGTTCTGGGACTCATCAAACTCCACAGCTAGGTCTGCATGACAATATACCAATATAATAACTGTCAGCATTCAGTAGGTGTAAATGCTACAAAAAGTCTAATAAGTTAACCGGATTTGTTTCCTTTCTTTTTACAATAATAATAATAATAATAATAATAATAATAATAATAATAATAATAATAATAGTTGCTATTGTTATTATTGTTATGTGTGCGAGTATGTCAGTGTTGTTCACCTGAACAGGTTGCACTTGACTTCGCCTTTGAGTTCACTGCGATGACCTGACCCAAATACTTACCTAACTGGCACGTTTTTCGTTCAAGGTATGCGTTACTCAGGAGCATGGTTGTACACCTCACGTGCGGTTTGTTATAAAATGTGAAGGGCCTTATAAAAAGCACAAATCTGTGATGTCGGCACTTCTTGAAAAAAACTCCGAAACATATTAACTCCCAAACACTGGTTTTTACGATGATAATAATAATATGTTTATATTCTTATAGCCCGTGTCTGTCCATGGCGATGTTGGCCGACACAATGTTTCATCATTTAATGGTTTTACTTTAAATTTACTGAATTACTATGTTTATTAAATATACAGGTGGAGTTCGAAAATGAGCACTATCGAATTATTTCTACGTATTTTATTTATACGAATTATTTCTACGTATTTTACTCTTGCGACCTTTTTTCTTTAAATGCCAATCCGTATTTTCGTCAAGAGGGGAGTTTATTTGCTTAAAGGTTAAATTCGAATATTGGCATTCTTTGGCTAATTTTGAATAAAGTTTGAAGTAATAAGTTTTGCAATTAAATAGCACATTTTGTGGTAGTTCCCTATTAAGCTTGTCCAATGTTTTCTTTAACCCAAAATGATTGTGCTCTATAAAGGGTAATAAACTTTGCTCTCCCATATATAATTTAACTTATTTAGTCGAAAAATGAGCGCGCAGCTATTACTAAACTGGCATTCGCATCTTCACTGTTATTTGAGGGAAAACTTTAAATGAATTTAATAACAGCGATTCATTGACAAAAGACCAATTGAAAATAAAGCACAGATAAAGAAACGATCCACTTTTTATTGATTAAGGAAAGCGACGGACTTCGCTAGGGTCCTTGCTTTTTTAAAGAGTGCCTTTTAAAATAATTAGACTATTTTTTCACCGGGACGTATATTTTCAGATAATTGATGGAACGGATTAGGTACATTTCTGTAGACGAATGTAGCTGATGGCTATCTATCAAGGAAAGTTAATAATTTTGAATTCATGGTTAATTTTTTTTTTCTATTTTAAGGCTCCAAGTGGTCCCAGCAGTCTCGGGAATCCTCCGGCATATTCACACCAGGACACACAGCTTTAACATCGTGCAGTTCTAGTTTCCAAACGAGGCTCAGTAGATGAAGCCTTTTTGACTGACACCACATCACGGCAAACGCATGAAAAACTATTGTAAACTTTTTGTGAAAAGAATTTAAAAACTATTGAATGAAAGACAGTGAATAGTTTTACGCTATATGCTGACTTAAAAGGAATGTAAAACGTTACGACTCGCGTTTTCCATACAGATATACTCTATATATTCAGTATTTCTTGAAAAGTGTATTATTGACTGTGCAGTTCTTTATACAGGAACATTGTTTCATTAAAGAGAAAACAGCTTAGATATTAATCTGTCTGCAAAATGGCATTCTCTGATAATGGGAATTTCTTTTTAAGAAACATATAAATTTGTTTTCGAGTAAATGTTATGTATATTCGTAATGTACGATGAACCACTTTACACTACATATATATTTAATTGTTTTTGTACATAAACCATACGTTTCATTAATGATTTATGCTCCTATGTAATATTTACGAAAAATGGCAAATTAAATGCAAGTTCATCTAGCTATCTATCTATCTTTTTATCTATCTATCTATCTATCTTTCTATCTATCTATCTATCTATCTATCATCCATCTATCTTCCTCTAGGAAATGCGGAATCATCTGCTTAACTGGTGTAACAGGAATGATAATCCTAGGAATGAAAGTCCGAGCCCCCCATGATTAGAACAGATTAGGGTTAGGCCGAGTATAAGGCTCTGTTCTCACAACTTTTAGATCGATCTATCACCGCGGGGAGTCTCACTAGATTACTATCAGATAATCCGCCTTAAGTGTCCGTCCCCGCCTACTACAAGCTATAAGGGGTAATTAACTTTCGTGTCCGCCCGGCTGACAGCTATTCAGCGCGAACCCCCAGGGAGTTAGGTCGATCCAAAGTAGGTCGATCTAATCTATGGAAATGGGGTGTTAGGTTCCTATATGGGGCTAATGTCGCCTGTACGAAGTAATGGGGAACGGATTACGGTTCCTAGCAGACTACTATTCCAGTCACACCTGGTTAAACTCATAATAGTATCGTATTATTTTGCAGTTATATATTTTCTTTTTATATTAAAAAAATATTTGCCTTGCATGTGAGACTTTCAAAAACATAAAGCTTACCGCCAAGACTAACTGGCCAGATACACATTTTATCTTCATACTAAAGCATGTGAAAATATGAAAAAATATATCTCTGAACCATAGCAAGTTGTTTTACAACTTCATATTATTTGATCAAATGGAATCAACATTTAAAAATGAATAAATATATCAGAAAAATAAAAACAGAACGTATTTGATATTCACTTTTTAATAAAGCTTATCGTTTAATTATATTTTTAAACAGATTTATTTCTATAATAAAGATAAACAAATATACAAAATAAATAAATTCAAAAGCAGGCGGCAAGTCGCCGCAGCATTATGTGCTTGCCTGCGTTATTTTTAACTAATGATAAATAAATGAAATGATAAAGATTATATGAAAGTAATAATAATTGTAATACCAATACTAATACTAATATTAATATTAATGAGAGCAACAGGGAAGGGGGGCATAGGCACGGGGTGATATATGCGGGAAGTGCTAGACTAGTTGATCAGGAGAGGGAGAGGTCGGGTCGGAGGAAGACCGTCAAGGATGTCCCGACTAATCAAAGCATTTAAACATTATGAATTAGAAACGTCAAAACAATGACGGAGTGATTCCTTCAAGAGCAGATTATTCCATTGTCGGTGATCGGTTGCATATTTCTAAAGCAATATTTTATGAACGGTACAACAGCCTGAGAAATATATTAAAAAATTATTAAGTTACCATAAACACCGGGAAAACCCATGGATATTTTAATATCCATATCTTAAAAGATTTCTGTTGAAATAACAAATACTAATATAAATACATTTACAGAAACAACATTTGGGTGGATCAAGGATTTTCAGTAGGTTAAGGAAGCTTTGTTATATTCCTATAACCCCATTCCACAGTATTAAATTTTTTATTCATTTTGCACTTATAAATTTAGTTGATATGGCAAATTGACAAACGACACTTAAATAGTCTAATTATAATTCCGGACTCTGTGACGATAAATATGTAAAAACTTAGCAAAGACGTTGTTGTGAAACCATTATGTATTTTATTTAAGTATATAATTCAAAGTAACACTATATACACAGACTTGCGGAAAATGGCGTTTATTTTCCCGATTTATAAGAAAAGTGAAAGAAGTTGCATTGATAACTATAGACCAGTTTTACTTCTGAGCGTGTTATCGAAAATATTGGAAAAAATTATATAAAAAAGGATGATTAATCATGTAGTTAATGGTAATCTACTATTTGAAAAGCAATCTCGGATTCTTAAGTGTAATAGCACCGAACACCAATTACTGGCAATTCAAAATTTGATAAAGTTCCGCATATTTTATTACTATATAGGCAGTCAGTCTATGGTATTAAAGGCAATCTACTGTCACTATTATCTTCTTATTTGAGCGATAGAAAAGTGAAGGTCCGTATTAATGGTACGCTATCCGAACGTTCCAAAGAAACTTATATCAATACTAGTGTTCCACAAGGCAACATTCTCGGTCCTCTGCTTTTTCTCTTCTATAATTGATCTAGCAAACAATCTTACTGATTACAATCAGTGCACCCAAGTGAGAATTCCTGCAGAGATAGATCGACCCTGCTGGTCTAATAATTTTTAATCGGAACCAAGAACTGTGTGTAAGCGATCAAAAAGTTTTTAAAAAACAGGGTGGTCAATAAAATGACCTATTTTTCTTTCCATATCGATTTAAAATAGGTTTGTTTTTCATGGACCACCCTGTATCTCTTTGGTCTAGTGTTCATATCTAGACGCTGACCTGTAGGATGATTAAGATATATTTGACAGAGTGGAAGATACAAAAAGACTGAGATTTTACAAAGACATCAAAAATTCTTTTTCAAAATTATCCATCAGGAATATAATTGAATGAAGTGTTTTACGACGATAAGCTCATATTTTATGACCAAAAGAAATAACATTTTTCTAACAAAATGAATAGTATTGGTCGGATTGGTTATGGGCCGAACAAGACGGGCCCCTTCTAGATAAGTGGTAATGAACATCGTTATCGCAGTAGAAGTTTTATTAGGCACTTATAAAAAGTGAACAAGGTTTTGCTTATATTCTTTGAACGTAAGAAAACAAGTGATAGGTGAAATTCATATCTTCATATGTCAGAAAGAATGGGACCTAATTTTGTTACATATACGACTGTTTGATCTGCCAAAAGGTCACCACAGGTCACAGTCTTACTCTAAGTACACCTTCTGGCCTCAACAAGTGACTTTCGAGACCGGGTTATGTAAATACCACGTGCTTTCTTTCTTTTCAGCACGTCGGTTCTTTGTAAAGACGTATAAAACATGATACGTTTGACATGATGCAAGCATCGATGAACGTAAATTGCACCACACATTTCACAAACCTTGGACGGGCTGAATTCTTACTTCATTTTTCTGGCGACTATTTTTTCAGAAATCCATTGTGAAAGAGCTGAAGATTATCACGCTACGTATAAATAAAAAGAGGACGTTTGAAACATTGAATTAAAATCCGACTGGTCACTGTCCACTTTCTGGCCTCAAGTTACTTTCGAGACCGGGTTGTTTGACCTTCCAAAAGGTCACGCCACGGCACCGGGTCACAGTCTAAGTCAACTTTCAAGTGACTTTCGAGACCGGGTTATGTACCGGTAGGTCTAAATACCACGTGCTTTTTTCTTTTCAGCACGTTGGTTCTTTCCAATGACGTATAAAAGATCATTCACATCGAGGAGAGCCGAGGTCGAGCGAGGTCGATGCCAGCGTCGATGAACGTAAATTGCACCACACATTTCACAAACCTTTGACGGTTTGATTTCATACTTCATTTTTCTGGCGACTATTTTTTAGAAATCCATTGTGAAAGAGCTAAAGATTATCACGCTCCGTATAAATAAAAAGTGGACGTTTGCAACATTGAATTAAAATCCGACTGGTCACTGTCCACTCTCTGGCCTCAAGTGACTTTCGAGACCGGGTCGTGTAAATACCGCGTTTTCTTTCATTTCAGCACGTTGGTTCTTTGAAATGACGTATAAAATATGATCCGTTTGACATGATGCAAGCGTCGATGAACGTAAATTGCACATTTCACAAACCTTGGACGGGCTGAATTCTTACTTCATTTTTCTGGCGACAATATTTCAGAAATCCAGAGTAAAAGATTATCACTCTACGTAAGACGCGTTATAACGTTTGAAACATTGAATTAAAACCCGACTGGTTGGAATCCAGGGAGAAACATGTAGTTCATGATTGTTGTATAAGTTGTTTGTTTAAATCGGAGCTAATTTAATTACTGTTATATCCAAAAGTTACACTCCAATAATGCCAAATACAGTGGAATTAAGGAAACATTTATTCCCGAATGTCCCACATAAACGACGGGTAATTTACTAGTATTTTTATGAGTTTGGTTAATATTTTGACTTGGAAGCTTACGTAGGGCGATCCAACAGATGATTCCTTAGATGCGTTATCTGAGACCCGCGCTTACAGGTTATAACCCAATGTGGAGGAATGGTACCACAATTTGTTAATTAAATACTGTTATAGGGAAAAAACAGATTATCCAGAATCTTTAAAAAAACTAAAATGTTTAATTACGAAAGTTGGAGTGAAAGCTTCCATACACAGCTCCTCCAAACCCAGGACAATGGGCAAAACTGGGTTGGTGTGTTGGCATTTCAACAACGGGGGGCACAATCAGCATTTCTGGGGCCTAGCCTCCACTTAAATCGATTACAATCGTTATAGAAACTTTTGAATTTATCATCAAAAACTGTTTTTGTTTGTTCTTGGAATTATCCTGTGCTGGCAGCTGCGTAGGTGCACCTGCAAAGGCATGCAAGTGCGAATTTACGTCTCAATTTTCCTTTGTGTAATGCCAAGTTCACAGTTTTCCTCATTAAAAAAAATTATCGTTTATGATGGATTTTTTTGTGCCACATTTTGGATGGCAATTTCGATGAGTATCAGTAGGCCTACTTTGCTTGAAAGATTGAAGGTTGTTTTACTCGAGTCATCATATAATTTAGAAAATAAAACAATCATAAACTCGATGAGGTATTTTGACAAACATAAGTCCACAAAGTCTTAAAATGTAAATAATAAGTTCTATTAGATTTATTTCTATCTATCTACCATAAAGCTATATCAGGAACATGAATATATTACCTAGTCAGAAAGCACTTTTTTCTTTTTCTTTTTTTGAAAATAACCAAAATTGACATAAAGCAAATTAACCAGTTTTAAACACAGATACTAGAAAGCTCTACTGTTAACTGTTATGCCAGAAGTTATACAGAGGCATGTTCTAAATAATATAAACTTGTCAACTGACCTTCAGAACTTTTAACTTAAACACACGCACAGGAATGTTTGGCACTTACAAATACACAATGTTTCAATGACAACAAGCAGATAAATAAATAAATAAATAGCATATTGATAAGTAACCAACACATTATTGAACATGAGCCTAGGATAAAAAAAAAAAAACTGAACATTTATCATTTTATTGCAGATCTTGATGAATCTGGGGAACAATCGCACACAACTGAATTAAAAAATGGAGAATTCCATATTTCTGTGGAAAAAGCTCTTGACTGCAGTATGCAAATATCACCATTATAATTTTGACCACTTTTGATTCTTAGAGATAATCTTTTCAAGCGGTAGGACAACCTGCTGCTCAATTCAAGTTTTAAAATAAATAACTAAAGATGACCCCCAAAGGGGCTTCGAAACAACAGGTTAGGTTGTTCACCCGGATTTATGCTCTACAAGTGCTAACAGTGTTTAATTCAACTCACCTACACAAACGTGTTGGGGAAAAAAAGTAAAATCTACACATATACTTCGAATGTAAGGTTCTGCACCTTTATATTACAACTTGGTCTAACCTCAAAGTTCCCTTAGTAATGAGACAAATGTTCAAATTTTCACAGATTAATACAAACTGGCTTAAATTTGTAAACTAACAACAAGAACCTTCTGACTGTACTTGCATATTGATAAATTATCACATAAAACTGAGACACAATGTGGTATAATTTAGAGCAATTTCACAAGAAAAAACAACCGCAAATTTTCCTTCTTATATTACGTGTACTAGTAAGTCCTCAGTATAAGACAATGCGTTCAGCCACCACTATGTTTATACTGCTGGTTTACAGTTAAAAATCAAGCAGATCATATACATGTATGCAATTTGTTAGGACCACTTTGTAGCACCTGCTGGCATTCGGTTCCTTTGAAAGAAACCACGCATTGTGAAGGTCCAGCCATTAAGAAGCTGCAATGCACAATGCAGAACTCTCAAAAACTTACTGTGTCAGTGTATAACAAAGGGAACAAAATGATAAAATATATCATCATTTAGCAGCATTCAATCCTGGCTTTTTTCCAGAATCCTTGCTTCTTTCAGTTTATCTCTATATCTATGTGCCGCAGATGAGTATGTTTTTTCTGAAAAATACCAAAAATATAAACAACTCAATTATTTGCAAAGAAAATTTCATGAGTTGTTTCATACAATTAGTAACTTATTAAGTTCTTAAAACATGCAAAATTTGCTCTACATTTTTTTATCTTTACGAGAGGTTTATTTATATATCCTCCCCCTTTCTCTCCCTCTCTCTCTCTTTGTCTCTACAAAATACACAACACCTTACCAGGCGTTTCACCAGTATTTGGTGTACAGGAAGACCAGAAAGTGAATCTACAATTTGGTTCTTCATTTACAGGGAGTCAAACCTAAGAAAGTCCAGCCAACCAACCCCAAAATTTTGTAAGCCAGCCAGCCATCTTTGGAAATATAGGCCGAATTTTGAGGCTCCTGGCCATTATAATAACAGCTGGATGGCTCTCTAGGGGAAAGCCTTGCACCTCACTGAAGCATAAAGCAGTTATCTTAAAGACTAATCTCTGAAACTTAAAAGACCATGCGCCCCACCTTGAGGTTACTCTCCAGCCTGTCTATCTCCATGCCAAGTTGGTCTGATATCCCCTCCCCATGCTTCACTATGATAGCTTCTGCATCCTCCACAGTCTTGGCACACTTCATCTCCTTAAGTACACATACAAAATAATAATCATAACAATATTCATTGCTTTAAAACCACACTTCTCATGCAATTCAGTGCTGTTCTCATAAAAATAAAGAGCATATAAGAAAGACAGGCTCAAATTAATAACATAAACGATGATAAAATATTAAGAAAATAGTTAAAATACAGTGAAAGTTAGATTTTATGATGAGAGTAAAATTTTCAATCAGTTATAATTACTTGGTTAAATATTGATACTCGATTAAAGATTGAAGTGAAAATTTATAGCCATTTATAGTCATGTTCTTAAAATGTGATTAGTTCACCTGCCTGCTTCAGTTCTGATAAAAATAAATGGGAAGGCAGCAAAAGACAGAAAGCTTACCTCCAATATTGCCTTTTTGTTTTGTCTACTGAGGTAATTTAAGGAAACCATCTTGCCATCAAAGTCCACTTCTGCCTTGAATTTTGTCGCGCCTCCCATATCAGTGGTCTTCACGTCGTGGACACCTCTGAAATAAAGCACAACGCCAACAATGGCCAATAATTCCTATCAGTTCCTGTCATATGGGATAAAGCCAATGTAATTAAAAAAAAAACTGCTACCAAAGACTTCAAGTTATATATATATTAAAAAACGCTACTTTAGAACAAGGGCTCTTTATTCTTTGCTGTTACCTTACAACTTTATCACATTCCAGATCAGAAGTGATCCCTGCCAGTTGTTTTGGTGGAATTGACCTGCAATAAACAGTCCGACATATGATACCATAAACAACATACAAATGATGTTATTATTCAGTAATTTTTATTACACAAATATGTGAAAGAAGTTAGATCAAAAAAGGGTTATGATTTTACTAAAAACATATTCAAATATGATAAATATATTAATTGATATTAAAAAAAATGTGCACAACAATAACGACTGAACTGTTTGCTTTTAATACAATATATAATAATATAATAATAGGAAAATGGTGAGAGAAGGTCTGAATCAGTCAGCAATCATTGTTAAAGTTAAAACTTACTTTCCAATGATTGTTTCTAAATTACTGCGTAGTATGAAATTTGCCACAAACATCAGAAGTCCGCCAATACAAACAGATCCCAAGGAGTCGTAAAAAGGATTGGAAGTGAGATGAGTGAGTCCCACACCTGCAGAGGCTAAGGCAACGCCTATGACTGCCGCACTGTCTTCCAGTAAGATCAGATTCAGGGTTGGGTCCTTCCATGCATATACTGGAAAAATAAATATTGCTGAGGATTTTTTTTTTACCACTCAAAATGGGTCTAAGCAGGAACATTGAATTCAGTCTCATTCCAAAATGTCAAGATTTTATCTGAAATGTGAATTATTTGGCTAAGATGAAGGGACAAAGAGTATGATTTTTAAAACATGTTAAAAACATAACCACTTATTGTTGAACTTCCCTGAGGAAAAGTAAAACTTTTCAATTAATCTTTTTTAAACAGGTAAATGCCATGAATCAATGGGGCCAATGATTTTTCCCATCCTGAGAAATGTTGCCACTAGTCAACAACCTTGACATAATTTTAGATAGGATACAACCCAAAACTTAGGGCTCGAAGTTATGGCAGAATTTGAAAAAACATGCTTAACCATGGATCAAGGACTTTTTTTATATTTTCTCAGATGGTTTAATTTAATTTTCCCAGCAAAGATATATGAAATTAAGATTTTAGGTTAACAAAACTTTGGGACAACAATGTTTCAAGCTTTTCAACTTACACCAGTTTTTCATGCTCATATCCGATGACTTTTTTTGGTTTATTGTCTTGAGTACTACACGTAGAGATACTGAAAAAAAAAAAAAAANTTTTTATATATATATCCTTTATATGTTTTGTAGAAAATAACCACTCCCTTTAGTTAAATTTGTTCCATAGTTGTAAGTGTTGAATCCAAAAGTGTTCTCACAAGAATATTATTTTCAACTCGAGTTAGTTCTACCAGCAAATTTGTGGACAATTGCAGTAATCTCATATGAAGTCCTAACATATTAAATGATATTATATGGGTTAGAGGACATTTTTTAAAAATTGTAAATAGGTCAGCAATACAGAATCCTACCATTCTAGTGTTATTTCACCTTTGTAAAATTGGACATTATTTTCCAAAATTTTTCTTCAAAAATCATTGCAATTTTTTTTTTTTTAAATGTATGAATGTATGTTTATACCAGTTAAAACAGTATGATAACTCTTATAATGGTATGTTTCCTTTCAGGACTTTTTCATTAGATGGAAGAATCTCACTTTGTAAAATTGTAGCAAGACCTGATCTGGTTGATCCCTTAAATTTAATATAATAAAAAAAAAAGACTTGCAGTCCCAGTATTTATCTGCTTTAGAACTTTTAGATCGACCTGATGCTTTTCATTAGTTTTACAACTAGGAATATTTGTTGTATTATTTTAACATTATTTTTCTTAAAATGTCAATTGAGAACCAAACTGCAGTCATCTAAGTTGTTGAAATGGACTGAATGAATTTTTGAATGTATCTGAACCTTATGTTATTTGTTACTATTATTATTATTATTATTATCATTATTACGTATGAAAGAAATGAGAAGTCATTTTCTGTAAACTGTAACATATTACTTATAAAATATAATATAATAAAGTGTAATATGAAGTATATGATAAAGCATTTTGATTGTTCAATTTATTGAAATGTTAAAGAAGAGTTGTCATTGTTCAAGTTGGATTTTCATCACAAAGCTGACTAAATATGACAGGAAAAGAAAAATCACTTGTCTACAATCATTTTGTGCTGAAAAGGCCATTTACACACAATCAACACTGATGGGACATTTTTCGGACTTTTGTCGGAATTTCGACTTTTTCAGGGTCATTTGGATAATTCTTTTGAATCATGTACCCTGGCCCCAGCCAATTTTCCTATTTCAGTGAGGACTGGTCTCATTCCTGAATTGACTCCAGATAAGCTCACTTGGTACATTTAGATGGCATGATACTATATGCAATATCAGAGAGATCGGATCAATTTGTGCAACTAAATGATTGTACTCTGAGAAATTGCCTCGGGTGCAAATAAAGTTCAACATGAATGGAGAATCATGACTTCTTAAAATTGTCAATTTTGAATATGTCCTGTATAAAGTTCTGTTTCGAAAATTATGGCATAGAAGGCAAATATACAAGTTTGCATTTTTCAGCACCAGGCAAGCCAATGCAAAAATCAGCTGCTGCGAATATATTCAATGTAGTCTCAGAATGGTTTTGGAATTGTTTGCCTTTCTCTGTATACTGAAGACCTTCAACTGATGAGCATTAACCCATATTTGTGGTGTTCCCTTCTCCTCTTCTGTGGTCTAAAACATATTAAAATGCATTTTGGTAACTTTTAGAACAAGCCATGATAATTACATATGAAAAGATCCCCTTACATAAAAAAAATTAAATATTTTATTTTACAAGTTAAAGTAATATAGCTATCTTCATCATCTCCTACTACATGGAGTCTGGATGTAGTGAAAAAATTTTGATTTGGCTAAATTAATGCTATCCTCATTTAGCACAGTGACGTTCTCATAATAAACATGTAAATACCATCTTTCCAAGCATCCCAGTTTCTTGCTTTAGCTAATTCTTCAGGGTCATCCATCTCTTCTTTCCTTTCTTTTTCAATGGCTGCTTGTTCGTCAGCGGTTGCAGCAAGCTCTGGATCATTAGCCATGTCCTGCATGCTTGGACTTACATATAAAATATAAAATAAAATTCAATTCAATTTGCATTTAATCACATAAGAAGGAAAAAGTGTTAGATAAGCATACCTAAGCTGGGTTTTTAATTTATTCATTTTTAAGTGACATGTACATAAATGGCCAACTAAAATGTATACCATAATACTACTGCCCGCTGCAATCACAACCAAAGAAAAAAATCTTTCCAAACATAATTAATGTAAGAGTGAGGTAACAAAACAATGATAAACCCTCACCCTGATTGCTGCTCTGGCTGGAGATTCTTATATGTCTGCTCATAAAATTCATCTAGAGTGTATGTGGGCACCCCTGGATAACCCATACCAAACACCTGCTTCTGCAGATCATTCTTTGTGATGATAAAAGGCCTAAAAGACTATCCAAAAAGGAGGGGGAAATGACTATTTGATTATTCAAAAATGACAGAAGTTATCACCAACTTATATCAAAACAAACTTTTGTTTGAACAACAAAAATTTAATTTTACACTTGAATAGCAAATATTTATTAAGTATATTCTAATATCTTCTGTATATCAAGAAAAGCAACTTTAACTGAAAGAAACAAAATTTGCCTTACAACAAGATATCCTGGTTCCATCAAAGCTGCTCCTTTCAGATAATACCATTACGTTACCTGTTTTTGCTGTGTTTTTTTGGTTTCCTTCGACATTTCTCCCAATTCATCTCTTCCTCCCATTTTAGATCTTCCTGCTAAGAGGGTTAGTTCCACTGAAAATACAAGCAATAAAATACATTTGATGTCTTCAAATAACAACACATCTTCTAAGTTATAAGTTGAACTCTGATGATTTTATTTATTGACAGCACTCAAAGGCACATCTATCACGTTGTATGAGTGACACAACTTGTGAAACCGCACAGCATATCACACATGACAGTTAACAAACTAACAGTTAGGTTTCTAAGTTCAATTTTATTCTTAACTTGTTGGAGGCAGAACATTTATTTATTCAAAGTTTATCTAAATTACCGTTTCTAAATAATAATTAATAATCCTCAAAAAGACTTCATGCTAATGCTTTTATCTATTATCATAATAAAACAATGAATCAAGCCCAGTCAGGCCTCAATCCACAGTTCTACTAAACTATTAATGTCATATTAAAATATAACCATTACTTTCTATACTGTCTAGTTCATCCAAGCTTGAGTTGACCCATTTGTTCAATAGTGTTGTATAATACTCCCTCTGGAATGGATATTATATAAGAATATTTAGTTGTATAGAAAAATAATTGACATGCAAATTTTAATACAATTAACTAGAAACACTGATCAATAATAATTATAAAAACTGTTTGAGACTTTGATGTGATAAGCGCAGAAAAGATACCTAGGCTACTTTACTTTTTCTGAAAAAAAAAACTTTGTTGTTGATATAAAAATTTTTACAACTATACAACTTTAAAATATTCATAAATCATTTTTCTTTCTTTTTAAAAATTATCACCTTGACTTCATCATCAATGTGAGGCTCCTTTACTTTTTCGTATAATTCTTTCAGTTTACTTTCTGTTGCTTTTTGTTTTTTAAATCTTTCAATTTTACTCTGCCGTGACCTTGCCATGCCAATCAGGTCTGGTGGAATACTGAATGTTAAGAAACATGTAAATTGCATAACTAATTACATGCTACTATTGTAATTGTTTTTTTTTAAGAATGTTTTATTAGACTTATAAAATAAATAAATCTTACTTATATAAATGAAGCACATTCATCAGCCAAAATATGCTAAATGTTGCATGGAATCGCCAATCTATCTGTAGTTACATATTATTATTATTATTATTATTATTATTATTATTATTATTATTATTATTATACACATTATTTCAGTCATTGACCAATAGCCCTATGGAAGCATGAGGCCACTCTTGATGTGTAATTAGTTTTAACACTGAATATTTCACCATGAAATCCTTACCCTCTAGCTCCTGGGGGAGGTTGAGGCCTTGTATTTTCTTGGTTTTCTTCTCTGTCTTTGTCCGAGACATCTACATCTGTCACCCCATATAGCTTGCACAGTCTCATAAAGTCTTTATAATATGTCTGAATTTGAATTAAAAGGTAAATATCAAGTACAAGTTTATGCCAAATCATAACATTCACAGATTTTAATAATATACAGCCAACTAGAAGCAATCAGCATATTATAATAACAGGTTCATAAAAATATTAAAGGCTTCTTAATCTTATGAGGTGAGGGAGGGGGAGATCACTCCGGAATTATGGGTAGACTTCAAACATTCTGGTAAATTTTCAGAAAAAACTAAGTAAGTTGCTTTTGCAGCAATTCCCCCCACCCTGTAACTCTACAATTTTAAATTAATCAAAATCAAGTCGTGTGGCGACTTTAACCAATGTCTCTGCTACTCAAATAAATTAGTATGGAAATTTACTAACTAGTTTTTTAATCTTTATTTTTAAATGTTCAAACTTTTTGACCAATGCAAACTTTCACCCCAGCAATGACTTGGCTTTCATAATATTTGGATGGCACAAAGTTTCATGCAAAACATTGCTCACAAAGTCAAATACTGCCAATCTAATTTATTTGAATAGAAGAGGTATTGCTCAAAGCAGAAATACAAATTCACTTAATAATGATATTGAAAATCAAAGAGTCATTGGGGGGGGGGGGGGGGGGG